AGAGAGAGAGAGAGAGAGAGAGAGAGAGAGAGAGAGAGAGAGAGAGAGAGAGAGAGAGAGAGAGAGAGAGAGAGAGAGAGAGAGAGAGTTGCACTCCGAACCTATCCCTGTTCAGCGGAACAACGCCCCTCATCTCTCGGTTTAATTTGGACCGTTTCTCGGTTTGTGCATGCCATCGTTTCTTAACAGGAAAAAAAAAATGGAAACGAGTTGTCTTGAAACTCAAAGCTCGCAGTTTTTCAGGTTGGTTAAAGTTTCTCTTTTCGGATAGTGGAGTCACGTATCGCCGGTATTGGGTATTAGTACATATTACCCATACATGTTGCTGGAATTGGTGGTAAGCTTGGTTCTTCTGGCCTTTGACTGAATGGGATATGCATTTGCAGTTTGCTGTGGAGGCGATTCTCATCCGTCAAACGAACGCTGTCTGGGTAGTGTTCACTGTCTGTGTAGCAGTGATCTCCTTGCTCAGTCAGCCGCCAAATCAATGGTTGAGAGGGCAGGAGGAGAGAGGAGCAAAAGAACCCTTGACAGAGGGTAAGAAGATTGCAGATGATGTGCGGTCGACGGAAGTGCTGTCTGCTGATGACAAAGGAAATCTTCGCAAGCGGGTCGGTGAAGATGCAAAAGACATAAGGTCACCACAAGAAGAGCGACCAGACAGCGAGATGAAGTGGAAACAGCGCCGAGAGGAGCCAGGTTAGTGTCCTTCTTTATGTCCTAAGCCTGACGGTTTTGCTCGATTAGGTGTAAGGTTTAAGAATTTAATGTCGTTCAAGTCTTAGAGGGGGATGATGCCAATCAGATACCCACCCTTGTTACGAGGTCAGACGCCGAGCAGGCTGTGACTTGTCTGGATCCAAATCCATTCACACATCTAGACTGGACACTCTGTCCGACAACCCAGATGTCGGGGTGCGCATAAATTCAAATTTTCAGTTCTTTTCAGGAAGCAAAAAAAAGGGGGACATCATTTTAAAATGTCAAAAAAACTTGAAACTTGAAACACTTTTTGTGGAATTGCAACGATAACAAGTTGTTGTTGTTGTTGTTGTTGTTGTTGTTGTTGTTGTTGTTGTTGTTGTTGTTTGCATGGGAATCGCTTTCCTCTTTTTTATCATACAAGCCAGGAAATGTTTTGGCGTCCCTCACAAATGTTGTGTGGTCCACGTAGTGAACGAGGCATCCTCGGCCAGGTTCAGAAGGGGGGTCGCCGGGGTGTAGAGATGACAGGAAGAGCAGCAGAGAAAACAGCCAACTCTAATGATTCTAACAATGAGAGACTCACACATGCAGGCGTACTTTACAATCGCTTTAACCTACCATCTTCCCCCAAACACAACGCACCCTGGTAACGAATGTACATGAGCTGTCTTTCCGGTCATGGTACAGCCAAAATGAGGGTGCGTTGTGTTCGGGGGAAGACGGTAGTGCATGGTGATCAAAGAGGGGAAAATGATGCTATGAAGCTGGAAACCGGGTCCAGCATCCCATCGATTGCAGGGAAACATCTAAAAGGTGACTGAAAATGGAAGCGTGCTATAAGGCTGCGAAGCGGGCCCAGCGTCCGTCCCCTCCTGCTGACTGCAATCAGAAAACGAAAGGGCGTCTTATCTGATTTGAATCTGAGAGCAACTGACAAGCGTATCTTTCTAAAAAGCCATATGCACAAAGAGTGTGATGGGCGGGAATGCTGGGAAGTTAGGAACAGATGGTCCACACCGCCTATGCACGGTCCTAATTAGAAATTGTTGTCCCTTACTGGGTCAATTTGATGAAAAAATAGATAAAAAAAAGAAAAAAGTTTGGGTGAGTGTCACCTCAAAACTCCTTATGAACATCCACTTCTTTTTTTTTTCTGTGAAAGAAAAAAAATTCATGCATGGTAATGCACTCCTGTAAAGTCGTTAACCTCTTTTAACGTCTAATGCACTCCTGTAAAGTCGTTAACCTCTTTTAACGTCCCTTTATACCCCTTTGGCCCCCATTGAACCCCGCACACTCAGATTTAGGCGCCATTTAGACTGAAAAGATGTCTCCCTCAGCCTGTTCCCACTAGTCCCAGCTTTCCGGTCAAGTGCATGCAGAGCTGTCTGGGCTTGACAGTCTGGGTGGACAGTCCAGCAGGGACAGCCTTGTAAGATAGGTGCCTACTAATTGCTGGACACGGAACTCAAAGAAAGTGAGTTTGTCGGGATTTCAAAGGTTGCCAGAAAGTGAGTTTGTCGGCAGAAATACCTTTCTCGACCTTTTGGCTAAAAATAGATCAAGTGTAGTATCGGTTCCAATCAGTTTAATATCTGATCTGTGGTCTTTGCTGGTAACTTGCTGCGCTTGGTAAGCCTTAGATAAAACTTAAATAATAATAATAATAATAATAATAATAATAATAATATAAAAAGGAAGAAAGGCATCTGCCTCTAGTGGTAACGGAGACGACATCGTTGTGTCTCGACCAACGCATGAGCCTCAACCGGAAAATAGTATTCCTTTTTTTTGCCAACTGGCATTGCCTTTCATTTGCAATATAAGATGCAATCCTGCGCCTGCTCTGTCTCTGCGCTGTTTATTTTCTGAGTCACACGTGGTGCTGAGGAGGGTTATTGAAGTTCTCCGCTCATGTTCTTTGCAGGCACAAGAGAGTAAACATATAGTTTTGGAACTTTTGGAGTGTCATTTGATGTCGGTATCCACTGCACAAGGCATGCTGATGCAGTCCTCAGACCACCAGAGTTTTCATGGGCAAATTTTGAGACGTAGCCGTGCACGTGCCACGTTCTTCGGGATGTACGGGACTCCCCCCGTGTGTTGGAAAATACATCCAGGCAAAACTGTTGCATGCACGGCCCTGTTTTTTCCTGAATGAATAATGCGCTGATTGGCAGGTCAGTACATCCTGAAGGACGCGGCATGTGGCACATGGCGTGTGGCGTCAGAGAAATGCGGAACACGAAATGCACTGGTGGTTTAAAGCACCACTGCTGTCGATGCAGTCCTAAAGTCATGTAAGGCATGGTGCCAGCCACTGGATGGGTCGGCCTACCGGCTGAAGGGCGGCAGCTTTGACACGATTTTGAGCTCAGAAGTTTTGACAAAAAGTTCTGCAAAAGTCGGGGATGTATATTGAGTGCTAATCTTCCTGGGGAAAAGAATACTTCAAAAATCACTGCAGTTGATTCGATGCGGCATTTGCTGGTTTGGTATGTCCATGCAGACATCATTAAGGCGCTTGCAATGCTTGTTGCGGACACGTGGAATCGGTTGGGTGAGGTGCTATGGAGTATTGCCCCTCTTCTGGTGGTGCTGATGGGTTGTGCTGCGTTCTTCATTTGGAATGGTGGCATTGTTGTCGGTGAGCATTTTGAACGTCCTAAGTGGTATTGAAGCATGTCCTCAGTCAACGCCTGCTGCTATTCAAATGCATCTTCAAATGTTGCTTCAATTTTGGAAATTGTTTTCAAATGTCGCCTCAAGTTTGGAAATTGTTTTCAAATGTCGCTTCAATTTTGGAAATTGTTTTCAAATGTCGCTTGTTTCTTTGTCCCGTCATGAAAATGCTATCAATGTGTGGCTGGGACTGTTCTTTGCCCATTCAGACGTGCATTCAATCATATGATATACTCTAAGCGTTTATGTAATCCTGTGTATCATTGTCCCTATTCATTGGCTGTTGTCAGATATGATACACTCTGTACAATTTGCCTAATTCTATGTGTTGCCGTCCTTCCTTTTGCCCATATCAGCTGTGAGGGGTAACAGACTATTCAACACATGGGGAAAGATGAGGACAGTGTCCACTACCATCTTCACCCGAATAGAAAGCCCCCCGAAAGTTGTGCCAAATACCGCTATAATGACCGGGCGTTATATCCGGTTGAAGACAGTAGCTAAGCGTGCAGAAAGTTGAGCAAACATTAAAGTGAAACGACTCATGGGTCTTGGAACCCAGTCCCAGTACCATGTCCTAATTTCTCCCTGTACCGTAGGCCTGTTCCATAGGTTGTGAAAGAACATTGTGGTTGGTATCGCCCAGAAACCGGTAGGTAGGGTGTGGCATACTCAGTTCCACACGGGCCCAGCTGGGCCCGACCAGGTATTCTAGGGGTCCGTAGAGTGTAGGGTCTGTGTCGTTCCGACCCTCAGTAGGGTCCGCAGGGTTGGTGGGCCGGGTTTTAGGCCAGAGTAGGACCGGTACCAGTTAGAGGCCCAGTAGGCCTCGTTTCGGCTACAGGCCCTGGCGCACGTTTTGGCGCCAAACCCTGATTTTGAGACCGCGCGGTTTCAGTAGGCGCTGGAGGCCCAGCCTCAGTTTGGGCGCCAAACTTTTGAGGCCCAGCCTCAGTTTGAGCGCCAGGATTCAGCAGCTGAGGCCGACCCAGCACTATATATAGCTGGGTCCGGCCTCAGTCACGGCATTCAGTAGAGGATCGAGGTGAGGCATACTTTGGACGACGGCAGTGCAGTAGTAGTCGACGATAAGACTAGTCTTCCAGCGCTGGGCGCTGATGGAGTAGAGTAGCACAGGGAGGGAGATATGGTGATGGCGGCCAGAGGGCTTACCTGAGACTTACCTGCGTGGCCATTGCTCCAGCTTCGTCTTCAGCACGTCCGCACCTGCATCAAGGCACCACCTTTCGCAGGTCAGTACCTGGTAGGGAGAGAGAGAGAGAGAGAGAGAGAGAGAGAGAGAGAGAGAGAGAGAGAGAGAGAGAGAGAGAGAGAGAGAGAGAGATTGATGACACTTGGGATTTAGACTCGACATTGGACAGAGACATTGGGGGGACTACTTGGGATTGATATCAGCGACATTTGGATTGACGACATTCTCATCTCTTCCTCCTTCTTCGTCTCTTCCCCCTCCTCCTCATCTGTGTATGAGTTAGGCCTGGCACCTTCGTCTTGGTGTGCGGCGACAGGCCATTCACACCGTGTGATGATGATGATGTATGTCCAGTCTACATTTCGACATTGATTGGGTCTGATCATTTGTATTCTAGTCTTCCGCTGTGCTATCTTGCTCTATCTGTGAGAGGTCGGTTCTTGGTTCTGGTCTGTACCATCTTGGTATGCGACATAGGGCCTGTAGATGTCTGTAGGGGTTAGTAGAATCAGTCAGTTAGGTACTTTACAGGCGTCAATCCACGGGTCAGTCGCAGATCAGTCCAAGGAAAGTCGTATGATAACCCAAATCATTGCCGACTGCGGCCAGGGCTGCCAAGGCCAATGTCACAAGCCCAATTTTAGAGCTGCAGCAAGTACAAAGCTCAAGTTGCAGGCAGAGTCACCGCTTTTGGCCATTCATGATGCTGCGGAAATGCTGCAGCATTATTGTCCGACTTGTCCACGAGTGAGAAGGAAGTGGAGTGGAGCCTCACCCCGCCCATATCAACCTCCCCCCACCCCCACCCCTTGATAGGTGTCTAGGACCGTGGGTGAATGGCTGCAGCTTCTATGTGAAGAAAAACAAAAGAGAAGGAAGACCGTGAGGGTAGTAGTAGTCAATGACGCCGGGCACGGTAGCTGGAAGGAGAGAGTGCGAGAGGGCAGAGAACATTCAGACACACACACACACACACACACACACACACACACACACACACACACACACACACACAGAGCAGACATTGAGGTGTACATCAGATCAGCTGGACTGGGACGAAGTACTACCCAAGGTAGCTAGTGCTTATAATAACTCAATGCCTCTAACAATTGGCAAAGCCCCAAGCAAATTGCGTAATCGTTGGAAAGCACGTACACCTATATATTTTCTCAATCCGAATCAGATTCAGATATTGCCACCTGGCCAGCTGGAACACGCGAGTTTGCACTAATGTATGGGAAAAACCTTAGAAAGTTGACGGAAAACATCAGATACACTGAGGAACAGACGGTTGAGCAAGCCTACAGGAAAAGGACACTTGAGTTGGAAAGCGATGATGTAAGATCCAGGTAATCTCACAAAATGACACTCATGTGTGTGTGTGTGTAGAGATGTGTGTGTACACATGTATAAGATATCTCCGATGTATCATAATCACGAACACCACTAGCGAAACCACTTCAAAGGTAAAACTGAAGTAGTCCTGAGATTGGACGTGAAAGGTCATCACGCATAGCACCAGACATCACACTAGTGCACAAGGCACGGAGAAGACAAACAACACAAAACAAAAAAGGAAAAGACACCGAGCCAAACGGCAACCGGGCAAACCACAGCCAACAAGAAAGGGGGGGAAAAAAATACAAGTCCCAACAAATGACAAAAATGGTGAAAAAGTCAGAAATGCAATCGGACGCGTTCTCAAACACACTTTTCATGCATGTAAACAGCAACGCAGTATACTTGCGACATGCGCCCACTCAAAACTCAGAGATATGGCTTTCAGATACGAGTTCACTCTCAATTGGCTATGGCGACTTCAGCGCCCAAACATCTCACTGTTCACATACACTGGATCACCCTGGATATCCCACACGCATCACTCTAACACTCGAGCACACACACACACTCACTACTAACTACAGCTATGGCAGCTATGGCTGCCTCTAACCTATCGCTATGCTAACTCCTCCTCTCTTGCACACTGTGTCCTCCTGGCTCATCTGCAGACCTCCTTGCACAAGTCGCTGTGGCAGCGCTTCCGCATGGCTCACGCAGGAATGAATGAATGGCTGGGCGCTGCCTCTTGATTTATACTTCAGAAACTCGTTGGTCTGCCCTTTGCCATCGGCCCTTGGTGCTCACAGTCCCCCTGTGGTACTTGCTGGACCGGACTGGGACTGACTGGACCTTCYGCTGACTGACTGTGGACTCACCGCTATCCTACCGACGTTGTACTGCTGTTGCACTGCGGTTTAGTCCACCACTTGCCTCACCACTTGCCCACTTGCCCACTTGCCTACCTTCTAGAAGTTCTACAGCTAAGCTTCCGGAACTCACTAAGACTCCTACGCTATAGACCTACAGATCGAACCCCTGCTGCCTATGGACCTACGACAGGCCTACCAAGTGCCTACGAATACACAGGTCACAGGTTCAATTCCCGGGGTCTACACAGATACTGTACATGGGTAGGGTGAGGTCTAGGGATCGAACCCTGGGTACTGCATCCGCTACTGCTAAAAGGTGAAAACCGTTTCAGAAAAACCGAAGGGAAAAAAAAAAAAAAAAAACTGAGGATGAAATACTGTTTTGTCAGAGTTACACCGACTCGTCAGGAGGCTGCACCCTCGACAATCTGTGGAATCCCCGTATTGATGGTTTGGGTCATGAACCCTTTGACCGTTGTTGAAGGCAGACTGTCCACAAGCAAACATAGCAGCAGGCAGCAACTCAACGAAGCAACAGGCAACAGTCCAGGAGCACCCAACTGCACAATGCCTGCTAGGAACGACAGGGCAAGCGGACGAGCAGCACAGCAACAGCGCAGCGGAGCACAAGGCGACATCAACACAGCAGCTACACTACATGGCAGACAAGCAGCAAACGCAAAGGCGGGGCACGGGAATGGGCAGAAAGGCAGTAGTGCAGCGAAGCACAGAGCAACACCAGCACCACAGCCACACCACACAGGGAACATGGCAGCCCACAACGAACGACACACGGAGCAAGCGGGACGGGCAGCAAGGCAGCGGCGGAGCGCAGACAAGGCAAGGCAGTCTACACATCCAACACGGAGCAAAGTGGCACATCACCTACTCACATCACGGGCGAACCACGCAGAGTGCTGCAGGCACTTCAAACGAGGACTGACCGACTGGTTGGCACTACTTAGAGGTGCTTAGCTGGGCACACAAGAAGCACTTGTACAAATTAGAAGAATGCATACGAAAGGAGAAAGCACAAGCATACATGAAACTGATTGTGTCTGTGTGTGTGGATGCAGGGGCAAAGGAGGCACATCAAGTATCACTCCATTTGGTGCAGATATTGTACTTCGGAGCATTTTCAGTGTTTATGCTTGCTCCTGTTCACTTGAGCCCAGAGCATATCCAGGTGTTGTTGAAGAAGGCTGCACAGGGTATGAGGAAGCCTTTGAAAGTAGGGGTTCCCCTTCTTGTCTTTGCTGTCGCAGCATTGGCGTGTGTGCACTGGGGAAGGTAAGCTTAACGAGTCATCCGTTTCAAAAGCAAAGCTGGACTGAATTTTCCTCATGGTTTTTCTGCATGGCATTGTGTGAGTTTGGAAATATTTTTGCGCCGTTGACAAGCGACTGATGATATAATTAATTCATTTAAAAAAGGGTGAATCTTGTGCTCAATCCTTGTTCCTGCACATTGCCAGGCAGAGGTCATGCTCCATTGCAGCTCGACCCATTAGAAGCTCACATTTATTCCCAGAGGTATGATGGCAGTATATGATACCGTGTTTTGAAGATCGGGATGGCTATCCAGACTGTCTGAAGTAGGCTAATGCCGCCCAGAGGAAAGCGAGCATGTTTTTTTCTTTCCTCTCCCCTTGGAGAGAACACAATCAGGTAGCTCACCTCTCAACGTCATCATAGATCGGAGCCTCTTCCTGGAAAGCGTAAAACATCCTTGTTCAGGATCCAATTGGAGATACCCAGCCCGTGTGGCTGAATGGTATCTTAGTAATATTACACATGTAACTGTTGATAAACAAATCATGAGCTCGAATCCTGGTGAAAATCAGATGGAAGAAATAAGGTTACTGAACTTACTGGTTAATTATTTTTCCTTTTAAAAAAGGATCCAATCCAATTGGAGATAGTTTTCAACCAGTAGTTCGTTTGGGATAAGTTCTGAGATGAGGGAAATAGTTGTGCTTATAGTTTTCGACCGTAACACTTCAAAGCTCGAATCGTAGTTTGTTCGGTTTAAAAGTGCAAATAGTTGTGAGTGTTCGAACTTTGAAGTGTTACAGTTTTGAACCTCAAAAAAGGCTCAAAGCTCCTTTTAAACCACCAGTCCCCGACAAGCGATATCCGGCGGCGCATTCGGAGACCCGATCCAAAAAGTTTTGGGCCTACTGGTGGTAGCAGCGAAGAGCAAAAATTTGCATGCTTTTGTTTCTGGGACTAGAATTGTTTTCTCAATTTATGTGTGTCATCTTCGCGCAGGGGCCATGCTAATCTTCCTTCTCTGTATCGTTCCAATTTTAACGGATGTCCCAAAGGACTGCTAGAATTTTTTTTGTTTTTTCAGAACCGGGATTTTTTGTTAACCTTTCTTTGGTATTTTTGGGAGAAGATGAGCAGTGAGCATTCAATCCATCACCCTGAGTTTTTCAGAATTGTCAGCCAACAATTAATTACAAAAAATGATAAAAATCATCAAAAGTTGGCACTGTCAAAGTTCTGTGCACTGTTGCTGATGCCCTTGCGGCCAGTATGCTGATGCCTCATGTGGCCAGCACATATACTGCCTTGATCGTTGGATTGCTACAGAGGAACAGATGGTCGGTGAAGGCCACCTCCCTTCCCCACACCGCCTCCAAATTCTCTAATGATCCAGCTCCGGTTTTACGTTCTACCAAACAAGGTCGACCCTCAATAATTCCTCAATGGCCTCTTCTCGTTTGCCCGCCATTGCAAGGACAAACAGCAGAGGTGCAATAGGGTTGCTGTTGCCGGACAGACCTTTGTTGGGACAAGGAGGTTGAAAGGTAACCATTTAGTATTACGCTAGGAGATGGTCATCTGTGTAGTATTCTTACCCAGTTCCTGAACTGAGGCGCAAAGTTCATCCCCCTTTGGAAACATAGATCCAGAAAATCCCAGTCCACATGATTGTACACCTTTTCTAAATCAATGAAGAGAACTAACACCTGAATGTCTCTTTCCCTTGGATAGCAAATCATCTCATTTACTAGTAGCATATCACCCTGGATATTCCTTTGGGGCATAAGGCCGAACTGATCAGGGTGTGTATGTAGATTCATGTGTGGCAACAATCGGTTACCCAGAACACATTAGCTACTGTTTTATAGGGGTGGACTCCGAGGAGACGTAATGTTATCAGTCCGTAGTTCTGTATTTCAAGCTTTGTAGTCACCCCTCGGCCAATCAGAACCCCAAAAGATGTGTCTCTCCGGACTGCATTGAGATAGTGCATGAGGTCCATGCTGAAGGCATCCCAAACCTTTGGCCAGAACTCTTTTTTTTTTTTTTTTACAACTACTAAGCTATTTTCTTCTCTCAATTATACCTCACACTACCTACCTACCAGTCTAAGCACAGCAGCCCATGTCTAAGCACCATGAGAAGAGCCAACTGAAATCTACCAGGTATTGTGACAGCCGCTAAGAAGAGGAATCCATGTCTAAGCATCGCAGGAAGGCCCATCCGAAATCTACCAAACCTAGCAACTAACCCCCAGCGAGGAATGGCAGGGACCCGGACCCTGCCAAGGCCGACCAGGGGGGGGCAAGTCAACTATCTCGGCTGATGAATACCAAGCACACCGCAGGCGCCCGTGAGGAACTGAACCCACGACCTCCTGAATGCCACTTGTGTGCGAAACCAACTGAGCTAGGCCGCTGGCCCGCCTTCAGCCAGAACTATTTGGGCAGGGAGTCCAAACCTGGTGTCTCACAGAGCAGCCAGGAGTTCATGCTCAGTGAGGGGCCCCTCTAGGGCCTCCTGCTGCTTAGTCAACGAGGCATTGAGGTTCTGCGACGTTGCTTCCCCTTCAATCCGGTCAGCTTCTTCTCCCCATCAAGATGTTCCTGAGGTGAAGAGTGTTTTTGTAATACTGGGTCGTTTAGTCCACAGTTGTGTAGGCATTATTTCTTTCAAGGATGTGTATGTCGGAGGGATGTTGAAAGAAAGGTATCATGTTCGGCCTGGCCATCGTTCCTTCAGTGCGGTCTTTTTGAATCCTGCTTGGGTCATCCAAGCTTTACTTGTAGCTTTATTGGAAAACGTTCTACAGTCTTCCCCGGAATACAACGTACGGTCATTATTGCCGAATTTGGTGCGTCTTTCGGTCTAAATTCAGCTATAATGACCGTACGTTGTATTCGGGGGAAGACTGTAGTCATCGTTACACCAGTCCTGTCCTTTAGATCCTAGCTTGGATGCTTCGGACTGGGGCCTGCTGGTCCACGCATCTCTGCGGCTGATCCTGTGCAGGTTGAACTTTGAAGGTTATTAAACCACTACTATGTCCGAGGCTGCTTTTTACGAGCGTACCAGGCACTGCACGCCAAAAGAAACGAACCAGTACGGGCATCTGCTCTTATTGCCTTGGGCGCGTAGTGGTGGTTGTCCTGGTCGGGGGGCTGGCTGTGAGTTGTTCGTCTCTACCCCCAATCATAGTCTGAATGCAGGGGATTAAGCCCGGATGATGGGGGAGCCATATAGCCACCCCTGAGTGTCGAGAGCTTCACGTGTCCAAATCCATTTACCCTTTGCTGTGTGTGAGGGGGGGCGGAATGGGAGAGGTGGTTGTCTCGGATGCATATCGCTTCTGGCCACGTCCCCAATTCTCTACATCTGAGCTGGTACCAAATAGCATTTTCCTTATTATCATTAGCCACATTAATCCGTTAAACCACAAAGTACTTTTCCCATTTATCTTGTTTCATTGTGGCCGTTAGGGCGCCACGTCTTTCGGGGCTCTCAGCGTACCGCTATGAAAAGCCTGGCAGTGCGAGCAAACAAAATTGATTCCGCACTCACGTTTGTCCGATGAAACTCGGCACATGGCAGAGATCAGTATTGAGAAAAGGAAGCTCGGAACTACTGGTGGTTTAGCATGTCTGTCCCAGCTTTTTGGCCCAGGAGAGGGTGCAGTGAAGTGGGTTGGAACCACCGTGGGGTAGGGAAGCGAAGCCGGATGGGAGGGGGGTAGTACTTCTAGTAGAGAGCAGACAGGGGATGTGGGGGGAATCAAGGGGGAGGGGGCGGCATAGAAGGAAATGAAGAGGCTCGTGCTGGTGACACCCATTGCTGGGTATATTCAGGCTGACTGCTGTGATAACCTGGTGAGCAGTCTTGTTTAACTTAAGATTAACCAATGAAAAGGGGGGGTAGTCCTAGTAGAGAGCAGACAGGGGATGTGGGGGGAATCAAGGGGGAGGGGGGCGGCATAGAAGGAAATGAAGAGCCCCGTGCTGGTGACACCCATTTCTGGGTATATTCAGGCTGACTGCTGTGATAACCTGGTGAGCGGTCTTGTTTAACTGAAGATTAACCAATGAAAATAACAAATGAAGTAAAAAACAAACAAATAAAAGTGATAAAAAGTCAGACTAAGTTCACAAATTTTGACAAAAAGAATACTAAGTTGAATAAGCAGAGGAAGATCATCCCTGGCATTCTGGGTGTCCGAAAGTGAGTTCTCCAACAAGGGGCTTGCCTGAAAGCGTGCACCTGAGGTACCGGAGAGCCGCAGCAGGCCCTCCTCCTTTCCGTTGGTATTCCAAGCTGAGTCAGTCAGTGGAATCACCAGGGTGATACTGACAGGGAAGAGGGGTGCTTGTGGGAGGCCACCTTGGTGATCCCCTGCTGTTCGTCGAACTTCATTAGCGCTCGACTTGTTGGATGTTTCTGCTCTGGAGCAGTCCCCTTTCCACCCTTCAGCAGTCAGGCCCATGTAATTGGATTGTCCCTTGCGGTTGTAAACTCCATTGTCCACAAACAAACAACCATTCGGTCTCAATCCCAGCAGCCATTGTTGGGACTGTGGGTGCCTCTTCATTGGGAAGACCAGAATCCCTTGAACCGGAGGGTATCGGACGTCCATCTCAGAGGAGGGCCTGATTGGATTCGTCGGCTTACCTCAAGGTACTGGTTTATGTGCCGACCATGCTATGGGATTGTGCCAAATCCTGGATCAGGGCTGATGGTCTGTAGGTGCAGCAGGTGCCATGTCCGAGCAAGGGTGGACTCTGTCTATGAGCTTGGCCTGAAGGGACACCATTGCATTTGTCGTGGAACTAACCTGTTGTATCCTCAGCGGCGAGGTCTCTGCTGCTGTCGCCTCTGGCGCTTGATTACCGCCATTACACAGCAATAGCGAAACTGCTGTGTGCCTACTCATCAGAGTCATCTGACTCCTCCTAACAGCCCGGGACTTCCCACTCCAATTCATCTGTCCCCACCTCAGATTGGTCGGAGAGGAGGCTGACAATCTGG